GACGTGATATAATGAATTTTCAATCATGCTGGGTGTCAGAATTATTTTTACACTCCAGTTGACCTACACTTACAATTTGAGAGGTGCCATTTTTTACATTTTTATTTCAATGAAGTCGGTGCAGGTCACATGTCAAATATGAGGGTCGGTCACTTAGGTAGGCAAAATTCATCCGACATACTGACTTTATTCATGAATTTTGTCATATGAGAGATTGACAGCCTTGGTAAAAGAGAACCGATTAAATCATTGGTCGGTTGGGTTTTGCAAAGCTTGGACATCATTGAAGCAAGCAGACCCGATTATTCCAAAATCAGGTTCTAACGTACGATAAAAGATGATTTTATAAAGTAAAAAATCTCGACTTAATAATAAGCATGCACTTAATCATCAACCGTTGAACATAGTAGTTAGGGAATTCTAGCATGACACCCTATATATATTCTATTGTTCTTTTTTTGGTGGGGTTGTTAAGTACGCGGTCAAAAGAAAATAAATATAAAAGAAAAATCAATGCTGTTAGGTGAATAGAATATGTGTTACCCAAGTCATTTGACATTAGGATTCTAGTTACCAATGGGTTTCAAGTCAATGGAAGAGTACAAATTAGTTGGTTGATTGAATGCGTTTGAATTAAATTAAGATTTATGTCAAAAATTCGTTATAAATACTCGTGTCTTGCATGAAGTTTGATATTTCATTTTTCTCAAAAAATCGTTTTGAAATAGTGTTATGATGGAGAATGTGTGGTTCAAGAATAAAGAAAAATTTTAGATTTGTATGTAATATTATTTTATTGAAAAATATGTGGTTGAAATAATGTCAAATCACTATAGAAAAATGTATTTTGAAGAAAAATGGGGCTCAATCAAGGGTTTAATTGGATATTAGGATATGTTGATCCAATTTTGTTATTCTATTAGTAATTATTTGATAAACTTTTTATTATTACAATCTTGATATGTCAAAATTTGAAAAGATTGCCACTTCAAAAATGTGAGTAGGTGTCCATATTTTGTTGAGGTAACAACTGCACATCTTGACTCGTGTATATGTAGGGTTTGGTAGTAATTATGTAATATATATGGGACTTTTATTGTATTTAAAATGTATTAAAATATAATTTAAAAAAAACAAAGGCATTTTGTAAAATACTGTTTAAAAAAGGCATTTTGAAAAAAAAAAAGACATTTTATAAATATATTATTGCAAATACGAGTTACATTTTTTGTAACACGTGTAACATACAGTGTTATGTAATCGTCACATTCATTGTCGACATTAATCAACTCCGCTAACGCCACGATTACCATCCTCACAGTCATCTGACTTAAATCCTATCTCATCATCATCATCATCATCATCACTCGACTTCTCAAAAATAGCCCCCAACCATGAACTCACCCACATCTCCGCTAGGCACAAAACGTG